GTGCTGGCGCCCGTGCATCGGGACCGTGGCGTCGGCATGGCTGCGGCCCCCTGACAGTGCTGGGAAGGGCAGTGGGGGCCAGGGGGAGAGCAGCTGCCCCCCCAGCCTCCTCCAGCCCCGTTTGCGGGAGCCGAGCCGTCCATCATAGATGCTCCTTTGGGGATGGGTTGTGTATTTTAGGAACAGCCCGGCTGAGCATCAGCGAGAAGAGCTGCATTCCCAAAGGCTGCGTCTGGTCCCCCCAGACCGGTTTGCACAGCCTGCCCAGTCCCAGAAGGATGCTAGCAAACTGGAAGGGGGGAGGGAAAGATGCTTGCTCACTGTGTATGGAGCAGGATTGCTTTCGAAGGCAGATGGCAGCGCCTAAAGCAAACCCTTCCCGCACTCCGTGAACGAGCGGGAACAAACCCCGCGGCCATCCCACATCCCCCTCCCTGCTTCTGCTGACTCAGCAGCTCCCAAAAAACGGGGGTTGCTGCCCCTACAGCCAGATGATGCCCCCAGTGCACTCCCCAGCTCCTCCTGGCGCAGCCGGGTCAGATGCTTTCTCTGCTTGGCCGTACCCCGCTTCTCTCCATCTCACAGTATTTTTCCGCAGCAGTATTCCTAAGAGGAATTTTGGGCTGTGGGGTCCAGCTCGTCCATCCCCAGAGGAACATGGAGAGGCTCGGGTGCCACCAGAGTGGAGGTGTGCATGTGCCAGCCCACAGTACACCCCTCTTTGGATGCAGCTGGGGTTTTTTTTTCCTTACATTTCTGGCTCAGTCCTCGGACAGTCTTGGGGGATGGATTGGCGAGGGTCCGATGCCCGACTTGTCCATCTCACTGCTAGCACAGACGAACACTGGTGCGAGTGGCTTTACGCCAAGGCATGTCTTGCGCTCACGGTTATTACCTAGCGGAGAAGGGATCATAACAGGATTTATAACGACTTACTGAGAAACAGGCTCTGATTAGCTTAAAGGGAAGCGATGGGAGTCACGCGAGGGGCGTTGGCAACCACCAGCAGCAGGGAAGGGCTCCAAAAAGCAGAGGGTGAATGACCCTGGCCCCCCCGCACCCCCCCACTGCAGCAGCTGGGCCATGGCTGCTGGAGCAGGAGCCCTGCCAGTCGCGGGGAAAGCGAGGACGTTGACTTTGAGTTTTTAATTGGCTCCTAAAGCAGTAGGAAATCACTGGAACCAGCAGAAGGGCAGGACTGTGGGGCCGGCATGATATCCTCCTCGCCCCCCCTCCACATTTAGGGGTGCTCTGGTAGCTCCGGCAGCACCTCCCTGCCCATACGCTCCCCTCCAGCCCCTCCATGTGCTCACGTGTGGCCCCACGCTGTGGTGACAGCCCGGTCCCTCACTGCTGCTGCGAGAATCGCCTCAATTCCCATACACCTCCTTTGGTCCATGAATACTTTTCCTGGCCCTCCACTCTGTGCACAGAAACATTGTCCTCCCTCCCCACCGGTCACAAACCACCCGAACAATCCACCCGGTTTGGGGCTGGGGTCACATCCTCCTCCCTGGCCCCCCTGCCTGCCCTGGGTGCAGAGCGGGTACCACTTCTCAGCGTCTTTCAGCATCTCCCTTTCGCTTCGCAGCCCCTACAACGATTTGCCATCTCCCCATCTCCCCTTTCCACTGCGACTGGATTGCACACAGGCTATAATTAATAGAAATTAGACTGTCGAGACCTTGCAGCCCCCGTTCCGTAATTACTTGGCCTTGCTGCGTTCGAGGCACAGAGATCGGCAACGAGCTCACAAGCCACCAGTGATGGCAACGCATCCCGTTAACAAGCTATTTTTGTTAAGCTTTTAATGCAGGCACTTGCATGGCGCTGGGGGATGTGCAGCATCTCCATGAAGTCCGTTCCCGGAGGGATGCACAGGGGGATATTTTGGGATGAAATGCCGGCATCAGAGCTAGACAAAGCAGGATATTAGCAAAGTGGCGTGTCCCGACCACCTTGATTACTCACACATTAATTCCCGGCTCCCCCCCAGCCGCTCGCCTTCCAACCGTTCATATTTCAGGGGCTTGGTAAAGCGTTGGTGCTCAGCGAGCGGTGACCCTCCCCAAGTCCTCAGCTCCCCCACATCCCCCCGCACCCCAAGAGCTGCACCAGAGCATAATGATTCCCAACATCTAACTGGGCACGCAGCACGTCCCCACCGCCTCATTAAACCTGCTAACAGCCCCCGTGCGAGGCGCGGGTCGGCCCCGGATGACGGGCAGAGGAGCGGCAGAGCGCAGCTATTCACACTGCTCAGCTTTTATCACTGCGCTTTTCACAAGCCGGTAAAAAGTTCAGTGCAAAGCACAGGAGAGGTCTTTGAAAGGCAGCCGCATCATGACCCAGCGTGCTGGCACACGTCTCCACCGGGAACGGGGTTTTGCCGGCATCCGTGATGCTCGCTTGTCTGCTGACCCACAGGGATGTTCACTTGGAGGGCTCGTGGCATCGTGCACCCACCCCGAGAGGAGAGCAAGGGCCTGGGGAAAGGTGCTCCTGCCCATTTTGGGTGTGGGAGAGAGACCTGCGGCTGTGGGCTGGGCTCCAAATGACGCCATCGCTTTGGGGGGGGGGGGGAGAAAACAGGACAGAGCCAGTGGCTTTGATGCCCGTTCGTCAGTCTCCTTCCCCCCTGCTGCAGGCAGAATGATGTGCTGCTGAATGGGGAAGAAGGTACATGACAGGCTCCAATTTGCCCTCTTCTTCACCAAACACAAGGACATCCAGAAAATCTGAAATGCAGAAAGACTGAAAAGGAATGAAAGGGAGCCTACGCGGCGTGGTATGTAATTGGCTTGTGGATCTCGGTGGCACAGGACACTGCTGGGGTCGGGACCTCAGCAGGATTACACGTTTATAGAGCTAATGCTCTCCCTATTAGCCATGCTAGGATAAAAACTCTGCAGAAGAGCTCTTCGCCTCCCTGTTTTGGGCCGTCATCTGCTCCCTGCTCCATCCTGGTAAAGGTCCATCCAGCTCATCCTCGTTTTCTGCAGCCTCCAGTTTTTGCGTCTCCTGTGCATGTGGGCTGGACGGCGGGCAGCCGAGCGTGCGCCGAGAGCCCAGGCAGCTGTCACTTTGCTCTTCCATCTCACATTTGCTCTGTTCTGGCTGTATTTCTGATCCTAAAGAAAATCTCCGTGGGTCCTAGCCAGCCGCCGGCAGGGAAATGAGCTGGTGAATCTGCTTTCACCACACATGAGCTTGTTCAGCATTTGATACCGATCTGGTTGATGCTCATCTGGGGTGGGTTTTGTCATTTCATCAGCAATTGTTTTGCTGTAAAGTACCACGGTGGGTTCACTAGCCGTCTGTTTTACAAAGTAGACTGTCCTTATTACTACTGTGAATGAACTACTTTGCATTTCTGTGAATGGGAAGGAAAACTTGTCACCTCAGGACAAAAAGGGAGTGGAAGTATCTGATGATCCCCTGAGAGCCTCAGACAATCCACTAAGCTCAAGTCATCCTCCTGTATTTCTCCCTCCTTGGGGGCAATTGGATTTATTAGTCCCTCCTCAAGGACCTCAGGATCTCCCTGTCCTTTGCCAAGTCCTGTCCTGGCTGTGCTGCAGGCTGCTGGCACATCCCGCCGGAGCCCCATCCTGTGCTGGGGACCAGCAGAGCATGCCTGGTGCCTGCTGGGGGTCAGGACAGCAGCACCGGGAGCCGGTGAAGCCCCCAGCCATGCCTGAAATCCTGCAGTATCTATGCATGTTGTGCTCGGGGTGTCCCCTGGGCCACGCCATCCTCTCCCGGAGGAGCAGGAGCATCGTGGTGTCCATCGAGACCTCCAGCCAAGGTGGGACCCGAGGACTTGACTCACCCATCTGTAAAGCCAGACCTGCTGTTTCGCTCTGGCATGCCTCTGCTCTGGGAAGGTGCCAGAGGCTTTGAGATGCTGGTCCGTCATGTGCGATGGGATGAGATGCAGGGGCACAATAAACCCTCCAGCTGCAGGGAAAGGAGAGTCAGGAAAAGAAGATCTCTTCTCCCTGGTATCCAGGGACAGGACACATGGGAATGGTTCAAAGCTGCACCAGGGGAGGTTTAGGCTGGACTCAGGAAGCATTTCTCTAACAAGAGGGTGGTCAAACACAGAGAGTGTCGATGCCCCAAGCCTGGCAGTGTTTACGAGGCATTTGCACAATGCCTTTAATAACAAGCTTTAACTTTTGGTCAGCCCTGAAGTGGTCAGGCAGCTGGACTAGATGATCATTGTAGATCCCTTCCAACTGCAATATTCTACTCCATTCTACTCTATGCT